CAATTTGGCCAACCCAATTCACCTGTACTGCATGTCTTTGGATTGTGGGGGAAACCGGAGCACCCGGAGGAAACCCACGCGAACGCAGGGAGAACATGCAAACTCCTCACAGAAACACCAACTGAGCCGAGGATCGAACCAGCAACCCAGCGACCTTCTTGCTGTGAGGCGACACCACTACCTACTGCGCCACTGCGTCGTCGTGTAATAAACAAAATGATTTAAATCATAAGAAATAAGTATTAGTATAAGTATTACATGAGTATTATAAGTAACAGGATTACAAATAAGCATGGCCAGACAGAATCTGACAACATTTATTTTAGTTTTTTTGCACAGAATTTTGTAAAACAAAATAATAATGAAAAATAAAAATGCACATTCCTTTTAATTAAAATTGAAATAAATTTTTATTCTGACTTTTATTTAAGATTTACAATTGGGTAGTGCGGAGTGGGTAGCACGTTCGCCTCACAGCAAGAAGGTCGCTGGTTGGAGCCTCGGCTGGGTTAGTTGGCATTTTTGTCATGTGGATGCATGTTTCCCAGAGATGGGTTGCGGCTGGAAGGGCATCCGCTACATAAAAAACATGCTGGATAAGTTGGCGGTTCATTCTGCTGTGGAGACCCCAGATTAATAAAGGGACTAAGCCGACAAGAAAATGAATGAATGAATGAATTAATTAATTAATTAAATCCACAAAGCAAGTCTCATTTATATTAATCTACTAAAAGTAAAAAAATATATAAAAATTTAAGTAAAAATATTACTTTACAAACTATATTGTAAATAAAACATGTCAACATTTGCATGTTAGACAATTATTTAAATTTATATAAAAACTGAATAAATAAATAAACAACTTTATATCTTTGTTTATTTATTCCGTATATATATATATATATATATATATATATATATATATATATATATATACACACACACACACACACACACACACACACACACACACACACAAACACAAACACACAACAGTTCTGTCTGGTTCTCGATTCTGACTGGCTTATAACCGTGCAATGCTCTGCAATAACAGCATTCGTACAGTCTCATCACCCTTGTGAAGTAATCTGGTGGTGTTTGTTTTGCTTTTTCGGGGTTAATTATTGTGCTTTCCCGAATGCAACAGTGAAATACTGGGAAATCTCTTTAGACTGATGGCATTTCATGCCGTTACAGCCTTAAAATGTGAGCAAAGTCACCTGTTTTGTCATCACTTTAGACATTACGCTAGAGAATCATTCAACTAGTGATGTTGGTGAACGAGCAACAGCTTCTGCTGTTCTGACGTCAGCTGCAGATGTTTATGAATGGCAGAAGAAAGTAGTTCCTCGTAAGAGTTTTTGAGACTCTCCATGTTTTATTTTCTTTTTTATATACACGATTATGCCGTCAAACTGTTGTATAAAAGCAAAATCACACTGGTAGCAGTGCAATATGGCTGTATATCGTCACTCGTGGGACACTAAAGCACTCAGCCTGCAACCTTGAGCCAACGCACGCCACTACACAAGTGTGATATTGCTCAAATATGAATATTTACACACATTTGCAAAAGTAAATAAATAGACTTTCAATTCAATTCAATATGCTATATACAATGTAAATATAAAATATACTCCATTATAATATGTATTGTAGTACGGCTGTCTGCAATACTTAATATTGATTGGTCAGTCGTGACAATTCAAGGTACACTGTAAAAAATGTAATGACAAAAAGTCAAGACTACAAATATTTTATATGTTGCTTTAACTTATTTTAATCAGTTAATCAGCTTTCGACTACATTTTTAAGTTATACAAAATTTAACTTATAATATTTTATATATTAAAAATTGAGGCAAGTTGAGATGTTTGGACAAGTTCATTTGATTCAACTAAGTGAAAGATCAAGAACTTATCCAGCACAAGATGCATGCAGTTCTGTTTTTAACCACTAGTGCATCTATTTTATATTAATATGTAATACATTTATTTTTGAGTTTAATTCAGCTTAATAATGCATGAGCTGGTGAAAGGGTAACCTGACTAACCTGACCGTGCAGATTAAGCCTCATAACTCCATTAGCTCAAACTCCCATCTGTTTCCCAAAAGTCAGTCGCTCTTCCTAATGCCGCCTCAGCTGCCTGGCATCATGCCGCCGTGCGTCTGTGTGTGTGATACTGAGGGAGATTAAATAAAAGAGCGGCTTCTGCAGAACAAGCAGTTCAAACTTTGCCTTGTCGTGATGTACTTGCAGGCAGAAGCAGCTGTCAGATGAGTCCACTCACGCTTCTGAAACACACACACACACACACACACACACACACACACACACACACTGCATGGATGAATGCGTGTGAAACAATAACTTGTACAAGTTTATATATGCATGATAATATTTATTAGTGTTTTTATTGATCATTTGAGTATTTTTAATGACCGAAAAAAGTAGTGTAACTAAATAAAATGTGTATTAAATGTGCAATTTTAATGTACTTAAAATCAGTGTTGGTTTAGATACTTCACAAGAAGTAATTCACAACTAATTAAACATTAAAAAAATTGTATTTAAAATACTTTTCTAATTACCTTTACTGAAAAGTCACTTAATTACTCATTAATTAATTGTATGCCATACTAGTACCGGGTTGGATCTTCTTTTACCTTTAGAACTGCTTTAATCCTTCATGGCAAATATTTAACAAGGTACTGGAAATAATCCTCAGAGATTTTGCTCCATATTGACATGATTTGTTAGCTGTATGTCCATGATGCAAATCTCCCGTTCCACCACATCCCAAAGGTGCTCTATTGGATTGATATCTGGTGACTGTTGAGGCCTTTTTAGTACAGTCAACTAGATGTCATTCTCCTCTGAGCTCTGGCATCAACAAGGCATTCGGGCCCACAGAACTGCCGCTCACTGGATATATTCTTTTTGGGACCATTCTCTGTAAACCCTAGAGATGGTTGAGTGTGAAAATCCCAGTAGATCAACAGTTTGTGAAACATAAACAACCATGCCATGCCAAAGTCACTTAAATCCCCTTTCTGATGCTTGGTTTGAACTGCAGCAGATTGTCATGACTATGTCTACATGCCTAAATGCAAATGAGTTGCTTCCATGTGATTGGCTAATTAGAAATTTGAGTTAGCAGAAGCAGTGGCGCAGTAGGTAGTGCTGTCGCCTCACAGCAAAAAGGGTCGAACCTCGGCTCAGTTGGCGTTTCTGTGAGGAGTTTGCATGTTCTCTCTGCCTTCACGTGGGTTTCTTCCGGGTGCTCCGGTTTCCCCCACAGTCCAAAGACATGCGGTACAGGTGAATTGGGTAGGCTAAATTGTCCGTAGTGTGTGTGTTTCCAAGAGATGGGTTGCGGTTGGAAGGGCATCCGCTGCGTAAAAACATGCTGGATAAGTTGGTAGTTCATTCCGGAGTGGCGACCCCGGATTAATAAAGGGACTAAGCCGACAAGAAAATGAATGATGAAAGAAAATTTGCGATAACAAGCAGTTGGATAGGTGTACCTAATAAAGTGGCCGATGAGAATAATAAACTACTTTCTCACTAAATCAAAAATTTCATTCTTTAAAAAATGTGCAATTGTCTTGACATACTGTATTACAGTATTTAGATATTTTAAGCATCTCAGAATTTTTTTACAGTATTTTAGACAAGTATAAGTATCTCTGAAGAAAGGAATTACCTTAAATTTTATGTATGTTTTGAAGTAATTTAGTTACAGTAACTAGTTACTTTGTAGATATTTACACCTAACACTTGCTTCCAATCCTAAATATATATTTACACACACCGTGAAACCAGCAGTTTACATACACTCTAATAAAGGAACACAACCATTTTAAAAAAAATGTCTGATGGTAAATCATACTAAATGTACACTATTTTATTACCTAAATCATTTACATTTGCTAAATGCCAGAATAATGAGAGAATTATTTTTGCAGAATTTTTTTTATCAAAAAAAAATTATTTTTATCTGCCCACTAATTTTCTACAGGATTGAGATCAGGGCTTTGTGATGGCCACTCACAAAACATTCACTCTGTTGTCCTTAAAGCACATTTTCACTATTTTGGCAGTGTGTTTAGGGTCATGGTCTGTTTGGAAGACCCATTTGTGGCCAAGTTGTAATTTCCTGGCTGATGTATTGAGATGTTGCTTCAGTATTTCTCCATAATGTTATGTCTTCATGATGTCATCTATGCTGTGAAGTGGACCAGTCCCTCCTGCAGCAAAACAGCCCCACAACATGATGCTGCCGCCCCCATACTGCACAGTTGGGATGGTGTTGCTAGGCTTGTAAGCTTCCCCCTTTGTCCTCCAAATGTAACACTGCTCATTATGGCCAAACAGTTCAGTCTTAGCTCCATCAGAGCACAGGACGTCTCCAACAGTTATTCTTTTTCCCAGTGTACTTTTGCCAATTGTAATCTGGCTTTGTTGTTGATTCTGGCTTGTTGATTTTCCCATGTTGTCACACAAGGAAGCAGTGTGTTTGAGCTTTTCCTTCAATACTATTCTATAGTTGTGCCGCACATTAACTCAAATGTTGTCAATTAGCCAATCAGAAACTTCCAAAACCTTGACATCATCATCTGAGCTTTTCCAGAGGCAGAATAATCTTATTGTGTGTAAACCTGACTTTCAAGAAAAGTTATAACAATTTCTCAATAAATCTCTCTCACATTATTCTACTGTTAAGCTGAACAGAAACACATGTGATAATCGTAACTTACCTAAAAGAGAAAACGTTTAGTCATATTAACATCTGACTTTTTATAAAATGGTTATGTGCCTTTGTATACAGTGTATGTAAACTTCTGCTTTCAACTGTATATTAAAACTAAGCAATGTTTCAATCGAAGAATAATTAGTTAATTTTTACTGTAAAACAAGACAAATCAAATTGTTTTTATTTTATTTTTTACACACACACACACACACACACACACACAAAATTGTACTATGATTGTTTTATGTGTTTTTTATTTCTTTTATTCAGATGCTTATTATCTGATTGATAATGTGCCACATCATAATGTCTCGACATGCATCAGGCAGTTTCCACTTTCTGTCAAAGATATTTTTAGGCACTGTCCTGCTTTTTATACAGAAAGCTCTTTTATGCACTGAACTCATTTGAAGAGTTGTTTAGTATCATTTTGAGGAGGTTTTAGAATTGTTGTTAATGTAAAAAAATCTTATGTAACACACTTGCATTTGTTTGTTTGCTGGTTTTATTGTTTATTACTTGCATTTTTTATAAGTTTTTGACATCACAAATAGACGCTAAGATTCTGAAATGGTATTAAAGGGATAGTTCACACAAAAACTAAAATTACCTCATCATTTACTCATCCTCATGACTCATTTTTTCTGATATTTTTTAAAAGAAGATATTTTGAAGAATGCTGACTGCACCCATTGACAACCATAGTAAGAAAAAAAAGTCAATAAGTCAATAGGTCAAGTCAAATAAGTCAATAAGTGCCAGCATTTTTCCCAAAAATCTTCTTTCGTGTTTTGTCGAAAGAAACTGAAACAGTTTTGAACAAGGTAATGGTGATTAAATAATGACAGACTTGTACATTTTGTGTGAATTATCCCTTCAAAAACACTCCTCAATTTCCAATACTATGATACGAAAGAGGATCCACTTTCCTCTATAGGCTCTTTCTTTACAGCGGCACCTTCTGAAATCTCTCCTAAGTCAGTTGCTGGTGAACCCGCGGTGTTTTTAATGTCAGTGTTTTTACATGCACTTTGCTTAAGAGTAACTGAAGGCGTTTGTGTCCACTGAAGCTGTAATCCTGCAGGATCTAAAGCCAGCACAGCATCTTCAGCCTCCAGGACCACACAGAGCTCCTCCACAGCCGCGATTTCCTCCGTTACTGGAAAAAATGCTGTCTTTTTCTCCTTCAGCTGGGTCCCTACCTGCATACAAACATCCATTCATTAATCCATTCATTTGTTCATTCATCATCCATCCATCTATCCATTCATCCACCCATTTATCCGATTCATTCATTCATCCATCCACCCATCATTAATTCATCCATCAATTAACAATAGTGAATTTAAAATCTTGATGGTCCAGGATCAACAATAGTGAATTTATAATCTTGATGGTCCAGGATCAACAATAGTGAATTTATAATCTTGATGGTCCAGGATCAACAATAGTGAATTTATAATCTTGATGGTCCAGGATCAACAATAGTGAATTTATAATTAATCTTGATGGTCCAGGATCAACAATAGTGAATTTATAATCTTGATGGTCCAGGATCAACAATAGTGAATTTATAACTAATCTTGATGGTCCAGGATCAACAATAGTGAATTTATAATCTTGATGGTCCAGGATCAACAATAGTGAATTTATAATCTTGATGGTCCAGGATCAACAATAGTGAATTTATAACTAATCTTGATGGTCCAGGATCAACAATAGTGAATTTATAATCTTGATGGTCCAGGATCAACAATAGTGAATTTATAATCTTGATGGTCCAGGATCAACAATAGTGAATTTATAATCTTGATGGTCCAGGATCAACAATAGTGAATTTATAATCTTGATGGTCCAGGATCAACATTAGTGAATTTATAATCTTGATGGTCCAGGATCAACAATAGTGAATTTATAATCTTGATGGTCCAGGATCAACAGTAGTGAATTTATAATCTTGATGGTCCAGGATCAACAATAGTGAATTTATAATCTTGATGGTCCAGGATCAACAATAGTGAATTTATATTTAATCTTGATGGTCCAGGATCAACAATAGTGAATTTATAATCATGATGGTCCAGGATCAACAGTAGTGAATTTATAATCTTGATGGTCCAGGATCAACAGTAGTGAATTTATAATCTTGATGGTCCAGGATCAACAATAGTGAATTTATAATCTTGATGGTCCAGGATCAACAGTAGTGAATTTATAATCTTGATGGTCCAGGATCAACAATAGTGAATTTATATTTAATCTTGATGGTCCAGGATCAACAGTAGTGAATTTATAATCTTGATGGTCCAGGATCAACAATAGTGAATTTATAATTAATCTTGATGGTCCAGGATCAACAATAGTGAATTTATAATCTTGATGGTCCAGGATCAACAATAGTGAATTCATAATCTTGATGGTCCAGGATCAACATTAGTGAATTGGTAAATAATCTTGATGGTCCAGGATCAACATTAGTGAATTTATAATCTTGATGGTCCAGGATCAACATTAGTGAATTTATAATCTTGATGGTCCAGGATCAACAATAGTGAATTTATAATCTTGATGGTCCAGGATCAACATTAGTGAATTTATAATCGTGATGGTCCAGGATCAACAATGGTGAATTTATAATCTTGATGGTCCAGGATCAACATTAGTGAATTTATAATCTTGATGGTCCAGGATCAACATTAGTGAATTTATAATTAATCTTGATGGTCCAGGATCAACATTAGTGAATTTATAATCTTGATGGTCCAGGATCAACAATAGTGAATTTATAATCTTGATGGTCCAGGATCAACAATAGTGAATTTATAATCTTGATGGATTTATAATCTTGATGGTCCAGGATCAACATTAGTGAATTTATAATTATTCTTGATGGTCCAGGATCAACATTAGTGAATTTGTAATTAATCTTGATGGTCCAGGATCAACATTACTGGATTTATAATCTTGATGGTCCAGGATCAACATTAGTGAATTTATAATCTTGATGGTCCAGGATCAACATTAGTGAATTTATAATCGTGATGGTCCAGGATCAACAATGGTGAATTTATAATCTTGATGGTCCAGGATCAACATTAGTGAATTTATAATCTTGATGGTCCAGGATCAACATTAGTGACTTTATAATCTTGATGGTCCAGGATCAACAATAGTGAATTTATAATCTTGATGGTCCAGGATCAACAATAGTGAATTTATAATCTTGATGGTCCAGGATCAACATTAGTGAATTTATAATTAATCTTGATGGTCCAGGATCAACAATAGTGAATTTATAATCTTGATGGTCCAGGATCAACAATAGTGAATTTATAATCTTGATGGTCCAGGATCAAAATTAGTGAATTTATAATCTTGATGGTCCAGGATCAACAATGGATAATTTATAATCTTGATGGTCCAGGATCAACAACAGTGAATTTATAATCTTGATGGTCCAGGATCAACAATAGTGAATTTATAATCTTGATGGTCCAGGATCAACATTAGTGAATTTATAATTAATCTTGATGGTCCAGGATCAACAATAGTGAATTTATAATCTTGATGGTCCAGGATCAACATTAGTGAATTTATAATCTTGATGGTCCAGGATCAACAATGGATAATTTATAATCTTGATGATCCAGGATTAACAATAGTGAATTTATAATCTTGATGGTCCAGGATCAACAATAGTGAATTTATAATCTTGATGGTCCAGGATCAACATTAGTGAATTTATAATCTTGATGGTCCAGGATCAACATTAGTGAATTTATAATTAATCTTGATGGTCCAGGATCAACATAAGTGAATTTATAATCTTGATGGTCCAGGATCAACAATAGTGAATTTATAATCTTGATGGTCCAGGATCAACATTAGTGAATTTATAATCTTGATGGTCCAGGATCAACAATAGTGAATTTATAATTAATCTTGATGGTCCAGGATCAACAATAGTGAATTTATAATCTTGATGGTCCAGGATCAACATTAGTGAATTTATAATTAATCTTGATGGTCCAGGATCAACAATAGTGAATTTATAATCTTGATGGTCCAGGATCAACAATAGTGAATTCATAATCTTGATGGTCCAGGATCAACAATGGTGAATTTATAATCTTGATGGTCCAGGATCAACATTAGTGAATTTATAATCTTGATGGTCCAGGATCAACATTAGTGAATTTATAATCTTGATGGTCCAGGATCAACAATAGTGAATTTATAATCTTGATGGTCCAGGATCAACATTAGTGAATTTATAATCTTGATGGTCCAGGATCAACATTAGTGAATTTATAATCTTGATGGTCCAGGATCAACATTAGTGAATTTAATTACTTGATGGTCCAGGATCAACATCAGTGAATTCATATTCTTGATGGTCCAGGATCAACATTAGTGATTTTTCAGTCTTGATGGTCCAGGATCAACATTAGTGAAGTTTGAATCTTGATGGTCCAGGATCAACATTAGTGAATTTATAATCTTGATGGTCCAGGATTAACAATAGTGAATTTATAACTAATCTTGATGGTCCAGGATCAACAATAGTGAATTTATAACTAATCTTGATGGTCCAGGATCAAAATTAGTGAATTTATAATCTTGATGGTCCAGGATCAACAATAGTGAATTTATAATTAATCTTGATGGTCCAGGATCAACATCAGTGAATTTATAATCTTAATGGTCCAGGATCAACATCACTGAATTAGAATCTTGATGGTCCAGGATCAACATCACTGAATTTTAATCTTAATGGTCCAGGATCAACATCACAGAATTTGAATCTTGATGGTCCAGGATCAACATAAGTGAATTTTAATCTTGATGGTCCAGGATCAACATCAGTGAATTTTAATTTTGATGGTCCAGGATCAACATCAGTGAATTTGAATCTTGATGGTCCAGGATCAACATCAGTGAATTTGAATCTTGATGGTCCAGGATCAACATCAGTGAACTTTGATGGTCCAGGATCAACATCAGTGAATTTGAATAAATTTGAATCTTGATGGCCCAGGACCAACATCAGTGATTTTGACTCTAGATGGTCCAGGATCAACGCCATTTAATTTGAATCTTGATGGTCCAGGATTAACATCACTTAATTTTTTATCTTAATAGTCTAGGATCAACATCTGTAAATTTTCATTTTGATGGTCCAGGATCAACATCTGTACATTACATGTTTGATGGTCCAGGATCAACATCATTGAATTTTTATCTTGATGGTCCAGGATCAACAT